CTACTACGACAGATGTCTATTCCTTAAATAAGTTATGTTTTTGTGAACGAAAAAGGACATTTCTAAAATTTATATATTTATACAGGGAAAAGATTCAGCTGGCAATACTTAGCGAAACGATGCCGTGAATATGAAACATTTCAATAGACCCTTATTTTGATTTTATGATTAATTAGAACTTCATCATAAAATCAAAGTTCATCTTGATAAGGTAATCTCGCTGACCACGATTGCTGAAAAGTCCAAACGATATCAAAGTTAAAGTTAGTTTTGCAGTTAATAATTTTTTTATTTGTACCAGAAATTTGTACCTACTCCATTTGAACGAACGAACTCCCTAATATTATTCCCTTCAGTATTCCCTTTTTATGAATATGTAATATTCTTTTCATTCAATACAAATACAGATCCATTTAGGTTGTTTATCATCATTATGTTATTGTTGAATATTCAAACGTGATGTACGACTGAACTGTACCTCTGTACTACGCGAAGATGGCTTGGGACGGTCACCCCTCCGCTTTCCCTGCGGGATTAAATCAACTCTTCGGCAGTCACAATACTCAACCACTTCCTAACAAAAGCCATGATGTTTTCATGCACGCCGTTTACTCTGGATTTCACCTATTATAATTTATTGAAGGAGGTGTAGCGGTTATGGTTCAACACGTGGCCTAGGTACGCCTAAGCTTTTCCACACGCCTTTAATAGAACCTCGGGGTTCGTGCCCAACAGCATCTCTAGTCCAAGCACACGTTGACATGCTATATGTTACGTCATATTACGCCATTTGTGCAACTACAATCAAATGCACTTGTGATATTTCGTCTATGCGATTATATGGGATTTTCTTGGATAAACAATACTTTCCTCGGTTGTGAAAAGTTGAAAACATAATCATAAGTAGTACGTAAATATACTATGAAAGGAAAACCAAATAGCTATAATGATATATTAAATTATTTACATATACATAACTTTGAACTTTAAAGGGCCTTAGGGAGAAACCCCGGCGTTTAAAAACGAAAATGTTTTCCACTCTCATTCAGTAATAAAGGTCAAATTGAATTATGAATTCCTGCGGATTGCCTGCAATGTCGATCATTATTGGAGATATTGGAAAATACACCTTTTATGCGAACAATGTTGTTAATGTATATATATATGTGATACTTCGTTGTTGGGTTTTTTATGTGCAAGTCAGGTTTTAAAAGCAGTGTAGGACTTCGATCTCCGGATGAGCACCAATGGACTTTCTTTCTATGTGCGCATTTAACATTCGCTCTAACGGTGATGGAAAACATCGTGAGGAAACCGACTTGCCGTAGACCCAGTCGACTCATGTGTGTCAGTCACAGGAGGCTGATCACCCATTTGCCTATTAGATTGACAAAAATCATAGTAGATACAGAAATCTGATTATTTTTAAGTTTTTTATCTCCAATTAATTAACATGATAAGGTCAATTTTACATTTAAGTTAAAAGTCAAATTGGTGTCAGAGTTTTATGACATTGCATTTTATTTATTGTTCTTATAACATGTTTCATTTTATTTAAATGCTACATTACGACGTACTTTTTCCGTAAACAGAGCTCTTAAGATTTGTTCAAATCATTGAAGAAAGAGGTTAAAATATGTTTTTGTCTTAATAAAAGCCAAAAGGTAACTTATTAACTTGAATATATGAATATTAATAATAATTAAAAGTTAATAAATAGAAAATAAAACAGATTTAATAAGTTTGATGGCAGCATTCCCTCGCTGCATTGCGATAACTATTCGTTGAGCGAAGAAAGCACCAGCTCTGGGGTCACCCATACTATCTACCAGGCGCCAACTTAAATCTTTAATTAGCGCCTGTGCACATGAACCACACGGCCCATCCCATAGATACTTTAATCCCCTTCTGTACCTGACAGATATAATATTTCAAAGAGAGTCTTACTTATAAACACAAAATGGAGTGAGAAGCCTAGTCTTAGTAGTAGTAATCAATATAAACTATTAACTCGATTGTGGTTAAATACAACTGTAATTATTTTTATTAAGAATAGGTCAGATTATAAAATACATGTCCAAGACCTTGTCATGATTAACCGGTTTTAATTGTATCAATTAATCCAGACGACAATATGGCCAAAGTAAATAGAAGGTTTTGTTTGTTGATATATATTCACCATGCCTTCTGCTGATAGAGGACAAATCTTTGTTTTAATTTATTTAATTATTATTAATTACTTAAGATGTCGTGTGAAAAAACATTGTGTAAAACAAAAAACTTGGCGATTAAAAAGAGTGGTGGTTTATTGCCAGTTCTTCTCTTCCTTTCTACGCCTTTGATTTGAGAACTGGCAGTAAATGTAAAATTAGACGTATTTAATGTATATTTAGTTTTTGACATTCATAAGTGTACATTGTTCTACCTATATGAATAAATGATTTTTGATTGATTGATACAAAAAATCAACCTCTGATGATATTTTTTTGCAAATAAATATTATCTTTTATAAAATATAATCCATCGTGTTATCACAGTTCTGGGCATCATACTTATGCGTTATATTTATTAAATTTCTTCGAAACTTTTCCGGTTTCGATGGAGTCAAAATCAAGGTCAAAGCACTTTTTATACACTAATGTGTCGAACTTAGTCAACACCGGCTCGTGAAACTCGGGTCAGTGTCAAGCGAGATTAATATTATATTTTGTGGATTGCCTTCATTCCGTTACGAGAACAAAATAAACTATTTTATTCTTTATTAACTAGTAAAAACCTCACTTGTTCTTCTTGTCTTGTGGTGTTCCACTGAAATAACTCTTAGCGTATGGAATTTTATAAATAATATTGTAATTTTTATAATTATTATATGGAATTCTTCAATCCGTCGGAGACTGACGCCTAACAGGTATTCATCTTGAAACACTATTATTTCTTTTTTATATAGTTTTGCCAGTAATTGTTTATTTTTTATATAAAGAAGAAATATTGGTAACGAAACGATAAAACTATTACAAATAAGTAAAGGGCTATTATTAGATCGTAAAAATGACTAAATAGAAGACATTAGTAAAAAAATATGATATGAAAGCATTAAAAAACATAAAAAGAAAATTCGTACGGATACTATAATAGAAAATATAGAAAGGTGTGAAAAAGGCAAAAGTTTAAAACATGAAACAAAATGTATCCCTAAATTAAAAAACACAAAGTCTGGAAAGTAAATACGGTAAGAAGGGACATAATAGAGACAACTGATTTTTTCAAAAACTTGTATGCAGACCAAGTAACAGAAACAATAAATTACCAAAAGGAAACCGTACTGGAAGAAGAACAAATACCGCCAATAGTACAAAGTAATTAAGGTAGCTCTGCCAAAAATATTACCAAAAATAAAAACTATATATTTGACGAAATTATAGAACTTAACGAATATGCGAACTTACGATTTTACCACCTTACACATTTTTGTACCATATTCTTGCAATAAATAAAGTAATATTATTATTATTAGATTAAGACATGCAAGGCATAAACATCCATGGGCGACGACTACATCACGATTATTCTACCAACCTAGTTATGGCGGTTAATGGGAAGCTTGCCGAAACGTGGCACATTGTGATTGAATCGTTGAGAAATGAGCAACAAAACAAAGAAAACATTTCATATCAGTTTAATTTTGCAATACTTGTTGAAAAAATGAACAAATAAAAAAACAAAAAAAACATAAAAACAATCCTTGATGCGGATAAATATATCATGATAAAATTTCAGCTCGATCGGTGCAGAACTTTTTGAGTTTTTGATGCGTACACCAACCAACATAAAATTTATATATATATAGATTAATGGAAATGCCAAATTAACTTATGAAGAGCTTTCTACGTTACTAGCACAAGAAGCATGTTTACACTCCCAATTGATGGGACCTTTGAAACCCTCACGCCACTAATTCCGGGTCATTTTTAGGGGAACCCCTAATAAGCATTCCTGATCTTAATTACAATGACCAGATGATTGGTTATGTTACTGGATGGTATAAGATACAAAAGATGATTCATGATATATGGAAAAGATGGAAGACCGGGTATATACCATGCAGCAAAGATAGAAATGGCAAAATAATATTTCAATATTCATTAGGTTGCGTCAAAGAAGTACTCCCCGGAAGTGATGGCTTTGTATGAGTGGTTACCTTAAGATATAAAGAGACCAGTATGAAAGTTATTCCTGTTACCAAAGGAGAATGATATAATATAATATATAATACAGTCTGCATCATTTTTTAAATTAATACAGTCCACTATTCCAATGGAAATATTTTATGTATTGTTACAATTTTATCAGTTACGTTTACGTCCAATATCATGTAATGTAAAGCTTAAAAACAATATGTTTCAGTGAGCGGCATGTTTAGTCATTGAGTTGCAATAAATCAAGTGAAGAGTTATTGCTATTTTTATGCCAATGTATAATTATTTTAGTTCGATTATTATTTTTTTAAAAGAAATAATGTTTTTAATAACACACAAATATAAAGTATTTTTAATATATAAATAAAAGATAATAATAATTCAAAATTTTTGATCCCCGTGGCACTTTTAATGCTGGCTAATTCCTCGCTGTATTGCGATAATTATTCGTTGAACAAGGAAAGCAGTCTCTGGGGTCACCGGTACTATGTTAGCCCAGTCATATTAGGTAAAAAAGGAGTCAACCTTGGAATGAAAGATAATAAGCTGTAAATTTGTATAAACCTTTGTTTTGTCGTTCTAAATGTTGTCCCACGGCCCAAGAGTCTCTAGTCCAAAGGGAAAATATCAAAGCTGTTTATTATTTTCTGCCTACTCTGCGGCAGGGCAGATTGTTAATTATATTGTTAATACGTATAAAGTAATTAAGTTTTTAGGTTAAAGGTAATGAAAACCAAAAATAATGGGTTATAATGGCTAATTTATTTATAAACATAATTAATATACAATAATGTAAACACGGCATCAATGCGGCCTCTCCGGTCGAGTGCTCTTCGGTAGTATTGTACAAAGTAAGCCACTCGCTGAAACAATGGAAAGTTTATTATTAAATAACTTTTGTGACCACGTTTGTGACGATAATCTAATTCTGTATGTGTACTTGTGTAAATCAAACCTTCAATAATTTGTTGTGCATGTTAAAATAAATGTGAATCAGTGTACAACTTATCAAATAATATTGCAATTACGCAACGATGTTTTGTTCAATTTTGTGTATTAATAGATATGTTTTGAATTAATATATTCGATAAACATGATGCTTCCAAAGACGGTAATCGCAGGGTAACCCCATCACAATAAAACATTTTTTTAAATGAATATTACAAATTAAGACATTTTTTGCCGCGCACCATTTTGTGGAACCGGCTGCCCACTGAAGTATTTCCGAACCAATTCGACTTAGGGTCCTTCAAGAAAAGAGCGTACCAATTCTTAAAAGGCCGGCAACGCACTCGCGAGCCCTATGGTATTGAGAGTGTCCATGGGCGGCGGTATCACTTACCATCAGGTAGGCCTCCTGCCCGTTTGCTCCCTGTTACATAGAAAAATTGAGTTATGGAGTTAAAATTAAATCAAAAAGTTCCAGTTACAGATACCGAGGTTCAATTAAATTTATCCAGTTATAGAAGCAAAATAAATTTTGGAGATTTTCGACTTATCGATGAGGTTCAAGAATTTTGACGTTTCAAAGGTTCTACTGTATGAGTTAGGTACGTTTTTATACAGAATCTGTCTGAGTCCACAGCAGGGTCCTGATAATACTAGTTTATACGTAATTTCAATTAACGTACTAATTAGATTCTTAATTATTCGAAGAGGAAGTATATTTGCGTTTCAGTTGTTCAATCTAAATACTTTAATTTATTCATGTTTATAAGAATGTAAGAATTACTTAAGTTTATTAGGTATTTACTCTCAAGATACTAGATAAAACACGCTTAGTTATTACAATACGTATTTGAATTTATAGTGTATATCTATAAAATGAATTTTTGTTTAGTTTTCTGTAATTTGAATTTTTTCTTTGATTAGTCTTGTTTTTTTTTGTAATGTTTGTTATGTTTGTGTTGTAATAGGTTATGATCTCTATATATATATATGTATGTCATGTTTGCCTTTAAGTGCTTGTCACATTAAAAATTGTATTTTGTGTTTGTTTTTACCAATGTGTCAGTGTGCCGAGCGTTGGGAAGCTTTTTCTCAATAAAAAAAAAAGTGTGATATAGCTTTGCATGATTGAGTATGGTTACGTTAAATCCGATAAAGTGTTTGTTCTTTTTAAATATATCAAATTAGCGGGAACTTTCACAAATGAAAACTTACTGGCTGTGACAAATGAAATCACTTCTGCCGAATGTGTAGTGTTGCAAAGCAGTGTTAGTACTTCAAAATACCAAAAATTGTGATTTATTAATTATTACTAGCTGACCCGGCCAACTTCGTTCCGCCTAACAGTCTAATAATATCGTGTTAACTTTAGTTAAACTTAATTAAGAATTGCAATAACATTAATACAACTTTTTTTGCAAATACATAAATGTTTTATTGCTTGCCATTGCGAAAGAAGAATGACAGTTTTACACATTAGGCTTCCCTCTAGCGCCAATATTGCGATACTGCATGTTGAAGCACTTTCTGATATACAACATTTTTTGATGAGGTAACACATGTCTTCGATCAAGAAGAAGCCTGGTTATGCATCTCCTCATTCACCTCAAGATCAGAATTTCTAGAACTGACACGAATTCAATGTAAAATGATACGTAGTTTTGTCAACAGATGGCACCACATGCTGTTTGCATCCGTAAAATTAACGATAACTTTTCCGATATTTTTACTTATTTTGCCATTCGGGGCAGAGGAGAATCCACCAAAATGATATACCTAACATCAGTCAAGCCGATCTTTAGTTATAAGTGTAATTAAAATGACTTTGTTTTATATATTTAGATTAAACGACAACCTTCAACAGCTTAACTTACATACAGATCAAATGTTCAAGAATAGATCCATATATAATCTGTTTATGATACAGAAGCAGCGAATTCATTTATATATATTATATTGCATACTTACTAATGAGCAAGGATCCAAACATATAAATGGGGACAATGCAGTGCTGGTCGACCAGGGCCCCGAACACCACGTTGCCCACAATTGCCCCCACACGCCCGCACATCACGGTCACTGCCATCGCCGTGGCGCTAGTTACAAATAAAATTAATTAACTAATGTGTGTGTACTTATGTACACGCGTTAGAAGTTATACTACTTTGGCGTAACAAGATAAAAATCTTTTCAAAAATTGTATTCTACGTTTGTAGAAAAATGACACTAAAAATAGAAAAAAGGTATTTAATACTTTGAAAGTTTTATTATAACGCATTATCTAGTTAAATAAAGTTTATTTAAATATCACAAAACAAAATGTTGACTAGAGCTAACTTCAGGGTGTCGGTGTTTTGTGATGGTGTGCGCGCGCATCGTAAAAAAAATTCCCTAACGCGCCAAAAGAAGTTTAACTTCAAAACGTTTTAAATTTCGAACAAGCTGATTTTTATGGTGGCAATGCACAGGATCAACAAGTACACATAGGCAGTATGTCATAAGTAGGTACATGACTTTCGTTTTTGTCGACTGCGGATTTGGCATTTCGTAGTGCTTAAATAGATCCCACTTGTTAATTTGGGTTAGTGAAAGTTCACGGAGGTTCTAGGCTCATATTTATCCAAAAGTTTCGTCTGGTCATTAAATCTTGAAGATTCTCAATTGATATCTCGTTTTTTTTAATAAAATGATGTAAAATAATTGTTTCTTTTTAGCTTACATAATTTACCCAAAATAATGTAGGTAAATAGTTTGTGAAACTATTGAAAAGTAGGTTTACCATATTTTTAAAAGTTCTTTCGCATTTTGATACCTAATTAATTACCTATGTCATTCCACAAATATTAAGTGGCTTAAACATTCTAGTTTGTGACTAAATGGACTTCAGCTATTAGAGACCACATATTGTCCAACGTTTATAAATTCAATATTTCGTACTTAAAAGTGCATAATAATTTACTACGAAATTTCTTTTTTTGATACTTACGCGACTTTAGTGGGGAAAATCTCACAAATAACGCAGAAAAGTACAGCTTCAGTGCAGCTCACAATAGCCTCGAAGACACAGGATAGGATAAGGTTCTCCAGAGAGGAGCGCACCAGATTAAGACCAAGAGCAGCCAACCCAGAACTTATAAGCATCATAACTGGAAAGGAACCTCTTTTCACTCTTAATCATGTCATAGTTTTTGTGTTTCTAAATTTTCTTCTTAATCGTAGTATTGTTTTAACACTATGTACAGAAATAGCCTATTTAGGTAAAACATATTTTTAATTTTAGAGGCTTCGTCACTTCTTAAAACGATCAAAATTTTGTGATATCAATGTAACATTTTTATTTGTATGGACACAACATTAGGACAAACACATGATACAAAAAATATGAAAAACGGTGCCGTCCCTATAACATCCTGTCACGGCCAGGGAAATCAAATAGATGAAATACAAACAAAAATAAAATACATAAAAAAGCTACAAAAATACTTACTCCAATACAAAAATTTAATTATCGGTACTGTGTCCTAATGTTATTCTATGTTGTATGTATATTTAAAGTTATCTCATATTTTATTATTTAAACATACCAGTATTTTTTTCACTAGCTGTTAAATAATGTATAAATAATTATTGTTGGAAATAAAACACATTCAATGCAACGTGTTTGCATAAATAGTAGCAATAAGAAACGCCTGCAATTTTTATATTAGCAAATATTATGCAGATATATTATTGGGTAGCACAATTGTAACAGGCGCTTATAGCCCTTAAGCGTTGGCTTAGTAGCTAATAGCTTCACCATGCGACTCATTTCTCTGAGGTCATAGGTCCACAAAAACGGGAAGCTTTAGTTCAAAAGACGACGGCGTGTGTCAGGCACAGAAGGTAGAGCACTTACTTGCTTATTGGAACAAAAACAAATGATAACGAAACAGATAAGCCCTCGACATAAGTTTTAGTCCTTCAGCCAGGATGTAGAGTTGGCGAACTTACCTAACATAAGTTTCTTCCCCACCATGTTGATGGTGAGACCGACCCACAATGCAGTGGGTATGCAACTCAGAGCCACAATTAATGTGTGTATGTACACTTTGTCGTCTATCACCTGTGGACATTCTTGTTTACCCTGGAAATAGAAACAACAAGTTAGTTTTTTCTTAAGCCCGCTGGCTTGCAACCCCACTACCCCTATGTTAATTATATGCTCATGTTTAAAACGAAAGAGTTTCATTAATTGAACACTCCTAGAACAACCGCCACCGAACTTAACTCTAGCAAGGAAAAAAATAAACACAAGCAAACAGCAAATATATATATGTTGTATAATAAAAATGCTTGGATACCCATTCTAAATTATAATTATATAAATCTTCACAGCATATTTGCTAAATTTAGTATGTTTATTAATTGTCTAGAAATTTTAATTTGGTCACAATATACTCAAGGGGTTCTGATGAAACTTGGACTGTTGAATTCAGCAAGGTTCAATAAGACTTTTACCAAGAAATTTCTGGACAGTCAGTTATTATCAAATTCAACAATATCAAGTACAAATTATAATCCATTTTTTCAAAGTCGGTAAAGTCGAACTTTTTTTTTATTGAACAGGGGGCAAACGGACAGGGGACAAACGGGCAGGAGGCTCACTTGATGGTAAGTGATACCGCTGCAAATGGACACTCTTAGGGTGAGATCTATAGTGCGCACTTGGACTTTGCTCAGACTTACCTTACGAAAAACTTTGCTTAGTGTACACTAAGGTTAAACTATGATTTCGTATTTATAGACATTTTAACGGTGAGATTAAGCTAAGCCCAAGCTAAGACAGAAAATGTCAAAATACAAATTGATGTTTCATTTCATGCAATACTTTGTTTATTATCCTTTAAAAAAGTTAACAATAACAAATATTTAAAAATCTAAAACGGTACACATATATCTTCAATTTATTGTTATTTATGTATTCATTTATTTTATTATTGCAATAACTAGAAATTCACGAGTAACCTTTAGAAAATGTATTAATTATTTAAAGATGACAATAATTTTATTACGTAGAACGGATCGCAATGTTTTGGTTAGGTTATAGTTTGAATTTCGTTGTCACTATAATATGCCAATTGCCAGGGCTGCCAGGTGACATACAAAATCACACCAGTTATTTTTAAGATTTCTCAAAAATGGGGTTTGAACAATTACATAAATAATATAAATAAACAACAATAAATACCATAATAATGTGTAATTATTATATTTCATGCATTTCATAGGTATTTATCAAGATCATTTATAATTTCTTTGAATTCAAATTCTATTTTTCCCAAAGTCTATGGAACTCCGATACAAAATGGCAACACCGTTCATTAAAAACCGACAAAAATAAAAAGTCCAGTATAAGATATGATGGTAAAGCAAAATTTGGGCCATTATTTTTGTTAGGCTTATAGTCAAAGTTTTTGGTAAGTCGTCGATTTCGTGGACTTGAGATTAAGCTAAGCCAACACTAGGGAGAGATTCGCAGTTTGCTCTATAAATACCGACTGTGTCTTAGCTCGATAGTTAAGTCAGAGCAAAGTCTAAGTGCGCACTATAGATCTCACTCTTAATTCCAGAGGGCTCGCAAGTGCGTTGCCGGCCACAATATATATGTATGTCTTATGTGTAAGCCATTTTAGCCAAAATAGTGAACCATAACTACAATAAAAATTGATAATTTAATTCAAATGCACATTTGGTAGTATAAATTAATTCCTAAATTAAAATACATACTTTATTAATAACTTCTGGTATTTAAAGGATATAAAAATATATGTCTTTCACGCTACATCATTTGAACAAATATAGATAACTTTGTTCCGCTTACCAATAATTCACTCCTGGTAACATTAGCAGACACCTCACAGACCCCTGCTGAGACCTCAGGGTACAGAGATGAGAACTGACTGAACCTCTCAAATAGATCCGGGAACCACATCATCAATGTGTAGTAACTGAAAATTATTAAACCCATTGTAAATAGCTTTCATGATTGGCTTGAATGTCACGTTGAAAACATTTTATGAAGAAGCAAAAATTACAAAAGAACGTGGAGAGAGAAAAAGAGAAAGTAATGTGGATTCAAGAAGAAGTCTTTTAATGATTTTACAAGTTATTCCTAAAAATCTTCCGACTTTCAAATTAATTAAAACAAATACTAATTAAATTAATTCTAATTTAAACAGATCCACACAAATCAAAATTTTATTAAGAATAAAAGGTCTAGTACATTTTACATAATCTATATAATCTATATAAAAATAAGTCGGGTTTTCCTTCCTGACGCTATAACTCCAGAACGCACGAACCGATTTCCACGGTTTTGCATTCGTTGGAAAGGTCTCGGGCTCTGTGAGGTATATAAAGGAAAAAAATATCAACAGAAAAGCAGAATCACCAAACGAAATGTTACATAAAACGAAGCCATCTGGTGGCGAAACGGAGTTCGCCGAGTTTGCTAGTTTCTTATAAAACATAAATCAGGGGCGCTACAACCTCTTTTGGTCTCAGATTTCTGAATCTGTTTCATGATCATTTTTAAATCTAATAGGCAAGTAGGTGATCAGCCTCTTGTGCCTGACACACGCCGTCGACTTTTTGGGTCTAAGACATGTCGGTTTCCTCACGATGTTTTCCTGCACCGTTCGAGCAAATGTTAAAAGCGTACATAGAAAGCAAGTCCAATGGTGCACAGCCGGGGATCGAAGCTACGACCTCAGGTATGAGAGTCAACCCTGCTCTAATTTTAAATTTCTTATACATCCTCACCTAAACATGAGTCCAAAATCAACAAAACAGCAGAGAACCAGCATTCCAATGTATGGCGGCGTGACGAGCATCTTTTTTCGACTCCAGAAAGAATGCCATCGTTGGTTCCATGTCATCGGTGTCTTTGTTTCATTGCCGTTTGTGTCTGCAGTCACCACCTCCTCTTCTTCGCCATCACAGGCCAACATTGATTCCACCTGGAATAGATTAGCCGGTAATAAGAATAATTCTTTCTACAAAGCTACAGCTCTGTCTGACGATGGTTAAATGTTTTCTTCTTCTTTCTACATTTCTAAGATCTATAAGAACGGTTTGGGTGACGTGCATATATTATATTATATACGTATATCGGAATTCTGATTTAGATTCGATTGTAAACACAAAAATCTTGCTGCGAAAACCAGTTCCCCTGTTAAGCCATCCTCTTTTCTTGTATAAAAAAATATGGCCGACAAAAAAAAATTTAATGTGCAGTTAATTTTTCATCTTTTACTTTCCGAGTACACTTAACTTACAGGAAAGTCTTTTTCAGTAAGCTTTGTATTCACAACAAATATCTTCTGCAGCACTTGCAAGGCTTGTTCTGTCTTGTTGGCGTAGAGAAGATATCTGGGGCTTTCTGGGAAGGGCATCAGCAATAGCACCACGAAGAGACTGGGGACGCCACAGGCTGCGACGAATACCCGCCAGGATGTGTATTGGAAGTCAGCGGTTTCCGATGTGAGGTTGAATCGAGGGTCCTGAATGATCAGCCAGGCAATACCTTTGAATGATATATGTGTTTGTTAAGATTTCTCGTTGTTTTTCCAAGACAAGACAAGAGGTATAAAATTTAAAGTAGAAATATAAGAGCGTCAAACTATAACGTGACTTTGACATTATTGTTACAATGTGCAACAATACAGCCGGCATCGCGAGCCCTCTTGAGCCTGTTCTATAGAAATAAATGGAATCCTCTGATGGAAGAGATTTAGTGTTGTTTAGCAACCTTAAGGACGCCATAGACGGACCGCATATTGCAGCCGATACAGACTGCTCTAAGCGGTCGCCGCACGGCGATCTGCAGTTTCCATACTAAATTCATATTCGCAATACACGGACCGCTCGAGCAGTTCCTGAGCAAACCGCATGTTGCAGTCGGTCTTGACTGCAACATGCAGTCCGTCTATGGCCCGCTTTATACTCTTTATGAATGGCGGTATCAAATACTGTTCACTTGAATTTTCGGATAGCAGGAATTAAACTGATAATGATTGACTGAATAATTTGGAATTATCATTCTCTCACTAAGTTCATAAGAACTTAAGTATAACTTAAAACGTCATCAAATATAATAACAATGTAGTTCTTATTGTAGCACAGGAAAGTCATGATTGAAAGTGGAATCGCTTCTAAAGTTACAAATTACAATGGAACCTTATACCTATAACCAAACCCAAAGTTTTTATAATTACATAATATAATTATGTTTGCCTATAAATATTTGTCACATTAAATCTTATATTTTATTTTTCTTTATGAATCAGTGTGAGTTTTAGCAAGCTTTTAAATCGAATCTCATCTCATCTGACAGCAGTGCCATCTATGTGTACCACAGTTTTCTGTTAAATAAACCTACCCATGCACAATATGTTTTGAATTACCTGGTAATAAAATAGTCCCAAAAGTCCAGAAAACTTCAAGCCTGCACAGCATCACGTCACGATGCCGTAAAGAGAGAAAGTCGCCAAAATAAGGGAAAATGAGCCCCGTCGCGCCAATTATCCCAAAACCTGAGAAGAATCTAAAAAAGATACTTTTAAATAACTAATTGGTCAAGCTGTTTAAAAGGAGTGCGACCACAAACATACACACATATATTTAAATAGTAATATATATCTTATACGTAACATGAGATAGTGAAAAGTTACTTTATTATACAGCGTTGGCGTAGTGGCTTGAGCCTCGCTACCTTGGTAATGGTAACGTGTTCTAATCACGGCTGTGCACAAATGTACTTTTGTTTCACTCGTACGGTGAAAAACAACACACAAATTGACTGCGTGTGTCAGAAGGCAAATCACCTACTTGCCTATCAAGAAAAATATATGATGACAAAACAGGTAGAAATAGAAATCTATTAGTATGCAAAAATGCTACTTGATTATCGATGTAACAAATCTACAGGCAGAATTTAAGATATTTTCAGTTTGTATTAAGTTCAGTTAAAGTTGAGCTTAGCTAAACAAAAAAAAAGTGCGTGCGTACTAAGTACACATGTCAGAATTGAAACTTCTTTGTAAATTAATTATTGAGTAATTAAGCTATATTAATTAGTGATACTAAGGCTAATTAAAAACCAGAACTGAAATTAGTTGTTGTTATGTATATAGAAATACAACCATTAATATGGTAACAATCACCAAATAATATAACAAATTCATTATTATCATAATTGCTAACATTTCCACATTTTCTATAATAGCCAACTGGGTGTTAGCAAAAAAAGGTCTTGGTTCTGTGCCCTTATATAAATACAAAACCAATAAATAAATGGTAATTTAGTTACTTAATAAAATAATAATGATATTGATATGTATCGGTCTCAATCGCTCTCTCCCTTTCGACAAAAACGCTGCACATCTTCGTGACGTTCCGTAAAAATTTCAATAAACAAATAACCTGCAAGCAAGAAACGCAGGGAAAGACTGCATGAGACTTGACAGGAAAGCCGCTAAAGCGTCAAGGAGTAGGGCTCCGATGATGGCCTTCCGACGACCTCGTGCGTCTGCGAGGTTGCCCCAGAAGTACGACCCTACACACATCCCTGGAAATTAATGAAAGCATGATTAGTAGCTTACTTCAAATTATATTTAAATGTCTAATAAACAAAACGTGTAAATGTTCAGTACATTTTGTTTGACGACATATTTCATTCCTTCCACTAATTAATTATGATTGAAACATTGTAATTGGCGTTGTAAATAAATCATAATATTTTTTTGTCTGTTTTCCGTGCTCATTTTTTTATTTATTTATTATACACGAACAATAATACAATCTAAATCATAGTACTCTGCCACATGATCACTATATCCTAATGGCCTAAGCATTAGCCAGCCAGTTTATTTAATGTTGTTACAAACGCTACAGCTGAATATTCTAATTATTCAGACCGCTAATTAAACGGCGCTGTTTAGTCGACAGGATAGGCTGTTATTTGAACAGCTTATAAAGCTGGCTACGACATTCACATATAAAAATAATTCTTCAACTTTTTAAAATTCTGTAGCGTTATATAACTGACCGGGTAGTTCATTTACTAGCCACGGTAATACTTCAGCGTTCTCTCACCATAGACGTTGTTTGCTCTCGAAGTACAGAGCAGAACCTGCGTTACAGCTTAGTCTGTACGTCATGCTCAACTGTTTTTTTATGTCGAAAAAGAGTTCGACTAGTAGACATGTATTTACTTTTCTGTTATTATTTTCCATTAAATTGTCAAACTAAAATAACATTGTCAAGATACCTGAGATAAAGCGAATACACACCTATAAGTGGGGTGGCAGTAAGCCTTCCCTTGTCGCTGGATGAGAGGTGAAAGTCACATTCCGCAGCTGGTAGCACGAAGCTAAGTGTAGTGGTGCTAAGTGCACAGACTGCATACACTGCGCCGCATGACATAAGAAGTAACCATTGAAAACATCCGTAACCTGCAATGAAAAGAAAACTGTAAATGAATTTGTCTCAGTTTGGAAAAACTCGACCTTTATTTTGAAATATAGTTAAATATTTTAAGTAGTAAATTAAATTAAAAATTATTTTTTATAGTTTAAATAACATTTTCGTAGCATTATTTTATTTCAATAAAGTTTAAAAATATTTTTTGATTGATGACACAAGACAGCGTTTGCCATACACAAATTATCCTAAATTTATTTTATTTCTTAATTCCAACTAAAGAATATAAGAGTCTTTTCTCCAACTTCGACTTTGTTTCTTTTGGAGTACAAACTCTAGGGCTGTAGGGTTCAAGTGCAAGTATTAAAGATTTATGTTGGAGCCTGGTACCGGTGACCACAGAGCTGGTGCTTTCAACGAATAAGTATTATAATACAGCGAGGAAATGCTGTCAGCGTTAAAGATGCCACAGAGACCAAACTTTTTAAATATGATTGAATTTTCTATTTATAAGTTTTTTATACTATTACTATGTAGGCTAAGAATATTGGAACAGAACATAATACATAATTTTTTACCGTTTAGTCAAAAGTCAAAAATCTTTTAATTATATAGGTACACAATGTACACTTATGATCGTCAAAAAAAGAAATGTATATGAAATGCTTCTAACTTTACATTTAGTGCCAGTTCTCAAATCAAGGGCGCAGAACGAACGAGAAGAACTGGCAATAAACTCTCCACCACTCATTTTTATCGCCATGTTTTTTTTACAAAACGTTTGTAAGGAGCTGCAACCAAATCACCATGTTCCACATGACGTCTTAAGTAATTAATAATAATAAAATAAATTAAAAAAAACTTGTCCTCTATCAGCAGGAGGCATGGTGAAATAGGAGCATGTACTTACATTCTTGTGGGTGGTATGAGTGTCCATGATATATCTTCATCGTAATCGAATAGTAGCAATAATCTGTTTTATATTAGGTTGGGGAAAAAGTCTTTTCGCATTATAGTATGTATGAACTTGTAATAAAATCTCTTTGGCTATACTATATGTATCTGGCTGGTTTTGTTATCAAGGAAAGTTGAGATTTTAAAGAAGATAATTCCAAAATCAAATTAGGATAATGTCTGTTTTTTATTTATTTTTCATACCGTCAAGATGAGTGAATCGAATGAAGAAATTCGATACATTTTAAAATTTTACTACAAAAAAGGTCAAAATGCAACACAAGCCGCGAAAAAAAATTTCGATGTTAATATGGCCCTAGCACAGTGTCTGTGACAGTAGCACAAATTTGGTTTAAGCGTTTTCAATCCGGAAATTTTGATGTCAAAGATCCAAGTCGCTCTGGTCGCCCTATGACGGATAACATGGATGCCATTTTTGAAAAAGTGGAGCAAGATCGGCATATCAGTAGTTACGGCGTAGCTGAAGAACGGGGAATTGACCACAAAACAGTTTTGGCGCATTTGAAAAAAAACTGGGTACACAAAAAAAGCTCAATATTTGGGTACCTCCCGAGCTCACTGTAAGGAACCTAATGAACCGTGTACTCATTTTTGATTATTTTTACGACTTAAAGGAACCGAATTTTAGAAGAAGCTGATAACTGATGATGAAAAGTGGATCACGTACGACAAGAACGTGCGAAAAAGGTCGTGGTCAAAGGCCGGTCAGGCTTCACAGACTGTGGCGAAACCCTGGATAACTCGCAACAAGGTGATGCTGTGTGTGTGTGTGTGGTGGGATTGGAAGAGCATTATTCATTATGAACTGTTACCACCAGGCAGGACCATCGATTCTGAACTCTACTGCGAACAACTGATGAGATTAAAGCAATAAATCAAGAGAAAGCGGCCGGAATTAATCACCAGAAGGGGTGTGGTTTTTTATCATGATAACGCTAGACCTCACACATCTTTAGCCACTCAGCAAAAAATAAGAGAGCTTGGCTGGGAAGGGTTAATGCATCCGACGTATAGTGAAGATTGGACGATGGTTACTACAAAAAGGCAAAAGGCGGCAACGGCGACGCAAAAAAATGTGAGAGCTCCAAAGTCGGCAAAATCGAAGGCTGAAAAGCCCCCACCCAGGACACTGCCCAAGCTAAAGGCACCTCGTACCGCTGCAATTGTGCTCACTTTGTCTAAAGACGCTGAAGCTAAGGGTGTTACCTACGCCGCTGCCCTAAAAGAAGCACGGGCTAAAATAGATCTGAAGGAGGCTGGAATTGAAGGCGTTAAGTTTCGCCGAGCGGCAACAGGAGCCACTATAATTCAGATCCCCGGAGCCGGCAGTGGGGAAAAAGCCGATACCTTAGCCAACCGACTCAAAACCGTACTGAGTGACAGCGGAATCAAGATCACACGGCCCGTCCGATGCGCCGATGTCCGCATCTCTGGCCTGGACGACTCTATTGCAGCGGATGAATTGCGCGAGGCTATTGCGGCGAAGGGAGAGTGCCCGGCTGATCAAATAAGAATCAGCCGAATACGACAAGATAGATCGGGTCTTGGCGCAGCGTGGGCTAACTGCCCCGTAACGGCTGCCAAGAAACTCTTAGCGGGGCGTTTCTTTGTCGGATGGGTTGTGGCAAATATTAGTGTTGCAAAGCCAAGAGAGCTACGGTGTTTTCGCTGCTTACAAATCGGGCACGTAGCTAGCCGCTGCATGTCCGATACTGATCGTAGCCAACTGTGTTTTCGCTGCGGTCAAGCCGGTCACAGGGCAGCCTCCTGCAGTGAAAAACCCAAGTGCCTACTCTGCGACGAGGCCGGTAGGAAAGCGGATCACAGGCTAGGTGGCAACAGCTGCACAGCTCCCAGTGTGAAGGTACCCAGGCGCCGCTCGTCACCTAAAAAAAAGACGCCCGCAAAGTCTCCGCGTAACAATGCGCGTATGGAGGGTATAGAAACCGCAGCAAATTAACATGGCCCTACGGTTTCTCCAGAGCAACCTTAACCATTGCGCTGCTGCACAAGACATACTGTACCAGAGTCTGGCGCAGTGGAATATCAACATAGGTATAATTTCCGAGCCCTACTCCATACCCGAAAAAACGAACTGGGTTGGCGACCTCGACGGTCTGGCCGCAATTATCGTTACACCGGCAGACGGCTCGCCCTGCATTGGCCCAGTTCGAAAAGGCCACGGCTATGTGGCAGCAAAGTTGGGAAGCAAAATGTGTATCGCGAGTACGTACTTCTCCCCCAATCGCTCGCTGGCTGAATTTGAGGCCTTCCTAAACGAACTGGGAAGCCTGGTGCAATGGAGTCACCCGAGACATTTAGTCATCGCTGGGGATCTGAATGCAAAGTCTGTGGCCTGGGGTTCACAGATGTCCATCCCACGAGGAAAAGCGTTGGTGGACTGGGCAGCAGCGCACTGTTTGGTAGTGGCCAACAGGGGCTCTGAAGCTACGTGTGTTCGAACAAACGGAGAATCGATTGTGGATGTGACTTTCACGAGCCCCCATCTTTCGTGCTGTGTTCAGGACTGGGAGGTCCTGACGGGGGTTGAGACGCTTTCGGACCACCGGTATATCCGCTTCCGCACTCTCTCTCCGTCGGCCAAGCCTAGCTCGGACCCGTCAGAACTGGGCCCAAAATGGGCACTTGGGAGTCTTAACAAGGAACAGGCGGAATTGGCTACGATTGTGCCGGCCTGGTGCCCGATCCCAGCCTCCGTAAATCCAGAGGAAGAGGCAGAGTGGTTTCGTGGCGCAATGACTTGCGTCGCGGATGCCGCAATGCAAAGAAGACGCCCTGGAGCTCACCGGACCAGTGTATTCTGGTGGTCGGCAGAACTCGCCCAGTTGCGGGTAGCTTGTGTAGCAGCTCGTCGAGACTACACCAGGACTCGCAGAAGGCGACCAATTCGCATAGAAGAGGAAAAACAAGCATATAGCGTATACCGAGATGCAAAACTGGCGCTGCGAATAGGTATCGCCGAAGCAAAAAAGAAAGCATGGCAAGAACTGCTTGACACCCTGGAGCGGGATCCCTGGGGACGCCCGTATCAGATTGTCACAAACAAGCTGCGCTCGTGGGCCCCGCCACTCACGAAAAACGTGGAGCCGGAACTGCTCAGCACAGTGGTGGCGGAACTTTTCCTGAACGCGACGCCCTGAGCTCCCCACATGAGACGACTACGGAACACAGTGTCACAGTGTCTGAAGTATCTCCTTCGGAGCTGAAGACAGCAATAGCGCGCATGACCACTAAAAACTGCACCTGGTCCCGATGGCATGCACGGACGAGTGGTAGCTCTGGCCCTCGACGCTGGTCTTGACATGCGCTTTCGAGGACTCCTCACGGAATGTCTTAGAAATGGCCTCTTTCCGTCAACATGGAAGACTGGGTTGCTAGTTCTTCTAAAAAAAGGTGGAAAACCTCCAGAGTCACCATCAGCGTATCGACCTATAGTTCTCCTAGATGAAGCCGGCAAGCTCTTCGAGCGTATTATTGCCGGTCGGATTTACAATCATTTTGAAACTATAGGACCAAACATACATGAGGCTCAATTCGGCTTCCGGAAACATAGGTCAACGATCGACGCAATTGCGCGCCTGCGAAGCGTCTGCGAGGAGCAGGTGTCACGGGGCAGAGTGGTTTTCGCGGTATCGTTAGACATCGCGAACGCTTTCAATTCCTTACCATGGGACTGTATCGCGGACGGCCTGCGCCACCACGGCTTACCGGCCTATATAAGAAAATGTGTAGCATCGTACCTCAACGGCCGCCGGGTTATCTTCCCGAAACAAAATGGCATAGGGAGTCACCTCATCAAGTGCGGCGTCCCACAAGGTTCGGTTCTTGGCCCCCTTCTTTGGAACATAGGTTACGATAGGGTGCTGCGAGCGAAACTAGTCCCTGGAGTGTCAACTATATGCTATGCAGACGACACCCTCGTGGTCGCTATTGGAGAAAATTTTAAGGAACCGCGCCTCCGAGCGACAGCTGGAGTAGCTAGGGTGGTTTCTGAAATTAAGAAGCTCGGCCTTGTTGTCGCCCTTCAGAAATCAGAAGCTATATGCTTCTACGGCCACAGAAAAGCTCCACCTCAAGACGCAGACATCATTGTCGGCGGAGTAGCTATCCGGGTCGGTACCACGCTCAAATACCTTGGGCTGATTCTTGACCCACGGTGGACTTTCAGACCACACTTCGTGGCACTTGCCCCTAAGCTCACCGCCACCGCAAACATGCTCTCGCGCATAATGCCAAACCTCGGCGGGCCGAGTGGGGGTGTCGCCTCTTATACGCTAATGCGATCCGGGCAAAAGCACTGTACGGGTGTCCCATATGGGCCGACAAACTGACCGGGTACAATCGCGCAATACTCAGGCAGTCGCAGCGAGTGGTCGCTGCCAGGGTTGCGAGGGCGTACCGCACTGTGTCTTATGACGCAGTGTGTGTTATAGCCGGTACCGCGCCATGGCACCTCGATGCGGCTGCTTTTAGCGAAGTATATTGGAGGAGGGCCGAAGCTCGGGATAAAGGGGATAACCCCACACTGGAACAATTAAACGCGTGGCGAGCCTTAGAAGACCAGCAATTGTTAGTAGAGTGGGAAAGCGAGCTGGCGGGTGCGAGTGCCGGTAAAAATACTACCGAAGCCCTCAGACCTTTGCTTCAACTTTGGGTAAAGAGGCGCTGGGGTCACCTCAGCTATCGACTTGTGCAGATGCTGTCCGGACACGGATGCTTTGGTAGTTATCTGCACAAAGTAGTAGGGTGTGAGGAGTCACCAACCTGTCACCACTGTGTCGGAGACAACCGGGACGACGCCCTGCATACACTGAGGGACTGCCCAGCATGGGAAGTGGAAAGGAGACCTTTGTTAGATGCTCTCCAGGGCGAGGACGCAATACTGCCAAACGTAGTGAAAGCCATATTGAGCGCAGGAAATGACGGCTCGTGGAAAATCTTCTATAATTTCTGC